TCTAACAAAATGAATAACAAAAAGGATTTTTAATTTGAGATTTCTTGACATGATCCTTCTTTAATTTGAAGAAACAAATTAAAACTAAACCTATGTTATGATGAATTGATATATTCTGGTACTTCGTAGCTAGTTAGAGGTGATATTGTTCTTTTGTTTAATTGAAAATAAATAAAAGGACAATATCACAATAAAATGAAGATCAAGTTTTGTAGAATGACCTGACCTGATTCATGTAACCTCACCGACGGAAAGATAGTCATTTTGGTGATAATGCACTTAATCTCTATTATTATTTTGCAACCATGAAAGAAAAAGAGAAGGAAAAAAAAGTCACATAACAAATATCATCAATTTTTTAAAATAATAAATGTTATTGTTATTTAATTATTTTATTTATAATTATGAACTTTTCAGGAGTATTTCTTGAATACAATGTACAGTATACCATGAGAATAATACAAACTTAAATAAGATTCAGAGTATCATTGCACTAATATAAGATACTTTGCAGTGCCCGTTAAAAAAAAAAAAAAGGTTTCCTATTATATATTAAGCATAATTTCAAAATATGTTAATGACTTGCTAGTACCATGCTAATAATTAAGAACAATAACCTTACATTATTATGAATCATAAATGCACTCACAAATATTAAGTTGTTATACCTAATTATTTCATCATGTACTCAAAAATATACATTATTGTTAATCATAAATAAAGCATTATTATCACTCTTGAAAAATGAATATATATATATATATATATATATCATTAAAAAAAGAAAAAAGAAAAGAAAAGTAACAAGGATGATACGCATATTTACCTCTAGTTCTTTGCCTCGGCACAGAAGCTATATGGACATGGAATCGACTACACGTCACCAGCAATATATATTGCTTAATGGAACAAATGTTTGCTTGCGTTAGTTTCCAACGAGTCATCAATCACTTTCTCTTTGAATAAAAAAAACTTAATTGATTAATTGTAAAACTTTATCTGAATAAAAAACATAAATAAATTCAAAGTATTACACACTACAATACAATAATTTTTTGGAAACATTCCATATAGATCTCATGGAGCAAACTTATTTATAAATAAGTTTTATGAAATTCAAAAACTATAACTAGTCCCTTAGGACCTGAGTGTAATTTGAAATTGAGATAAAAAGACATTAATGCCCCTATTAAATATATATATATATACACATTACATTAGTCAAATAATTTATAACTACTTCATTGATAATTTACAACTATAACTTCAAATTTTTATAACTGTAATTTTATATATCTAATAATTAAAATTGATTAGTTTAACTATTAAATATATAAAGTTACAGTTATAAAAGTTTAAAGTTATAGTTTTAAATTACTAATGAAATAATTGTAAATGGTTAATGTTAAATTTTATTAGTAACACATGATTGTTTAATTATTAGATATGTGAAATTATAGTTTTAAAAAGTTAAAATTATAGTTATAAATTGCTGATAAAGTAGTTGTAAATTAATTATTTAATTCATATAATGTATGTTTAATAAGGATATTATTGTCTTTGCAATTTAATTTTTAATTACACTTAGGTCCCAAGGGATTTGGATGTGATTTTTGCATTTTGCAGGACTTAATTGTAAATAAGTCTGTTCTATGGGACCTATATATAATTTTCTCAAATATTTTCAAACAACTCAGATTTCACAAAATGCTATGCACAATGTATATTAGGCCAAATTCTAATCTGAAACATAATACCCAATTATTAATTGTTCTTTAAATTACTCAAACATGAAATATTAATAATAATATCATTATTATTTTTTGTTGATAATAAACCATCTGGTATTGGATACTACTAATTAATTATAACAAATATATATTCAAACATGCGAGATTAGGAATATGGAGCATGGGCTTCGACCTCGACAAAAGCTATGACTGGAAATGACCCCATCTCACCAGCAATATATATAATATTGCAGAATATGGAACATAGGCTTGCTTGCGTTAGTTTCCAAGGAATCACCAATCCCTTTCTTTTCTAGCAATTCATACCTTTATGAAATAATGCGTATATGGATTTTCTTATCAAGTGTTGTTTCAAAATTTTGTTGAATATATGTTCCTCTAATTTTCTTTCTTTTTTTTTTATTTTCCTTTTTACGATAATTGGTTTCTCATTAACAATATGTGTTGCTTGACCTCGGGGGCAGCAGATGACATTGTAGGAGGAAGAAGAGAAAAGATATCAATGGATACTTGGTTCAACTAGTCAAAAGGTCGAATTAGCTCATTTTGAGGTTTCAAATTTGAGTTCTGAAATATCCCTGAAATACCTATGATGTTGCTGTTGATAATAATGATCCCACACAAAGAGGGGTTCAAATTAGTATGGATGAGTTGTGGCAATACACCAGCTTTCCCAAAATACTTGACGATGGGATAAAAGACAGGAGTAAAAAGATCTCAGTTTAGTTTTTTTTTTTTTATTACATGGATTACATTGATTTAACATCTTTCAAACTAATTTGGGAGAATCACAGGAAAATCTGAAAAGAGAGAATTTAATGACCATTAGGTCCTAACAAAATTTTCTGCAGAATTAGTTGTGAATATTGATTTAGACAGTAGTAAATAGGAATTTTAATTACAAATTGACAGTTATATTTAAAATTTAAATTTCTTATTTGTACTTGACATTCCTGAATTTACAATTATTTGACTCGATATTTGAAACTTTTGTTTGGAGAAAATTTTATCAAAAACTGTCATTAATTTTTTTTATTTCAGGACTTAACTGTCATTCTCTCAACTAATTTTGGATGTGTCAGGAAATTACAAAATTTGATGACTACATAAAAACACAACCACCCTGCACTTACATTACCTCCTGATACATCAACAAAACAGGCATTTAGTTAGGAACATTTTGGATATTTGTATAGGAATCACATTGTCTTTGCTTAAAACAAAGTAACTCACGGATTTTATAGTATATATCAACATGTATGGTCAAAATAATAGTATATATGAATATTAGTTTTGACCTTTAATTTGATAGAAGACAAGCTATAGTTACCAATTTTTCCTAAAAAAAAGGAAATGACAGAAAGAAAGAAAGAAAGAAAGAAACAAAAAAAGCAAAAGTTTCAAATATATTCCACGCTAAAGCTGTTATAGCCGTCACTTTAGATTTTATAACTGTCTTTAGAGCAGGTTGTCTCATTTTGTTATTATGAACCCCTTGGGCTGGCATATAAAATAAAATGAATTATTTGGTAATGTCAATCAATCTATATATATAATATATGAAGTTAATTACGATAGCATCATGCATGATAAGTCGTAAACATGTACATATCATATTAATTATTTGATTTTAAACAGAACATTAATCTAGTATCTGGTTAAATACTAAATGGCTCTTTAAAAAAATACAACATAAGTTTCATTGCTAAGTATTACAAGTGATAGTTATAGATATATTGACTTACACGTTTCTGATCCTGTACTAAAAAAAAAGGAAAATTACAAAGAAATCTCAAATAAGTGAATTGATCACTAACAGCTCTCATGAATTTGAGTTATACTAACAAGTCGCAAAATACTTGGAAATAAATTGATGAAAGGGGAGAAGTCAAAAAAAGTCAAATGGCAATTGAATAATTTCACACTTTTTTTCCAATTATTTTGATTTGAAGTGCCCTAAAGTTTGGGAAATCACTTTTGAGCACGTCTACAAAGAAGTGCGCTAACCTCCTAACCCACAGAACTTCAAGAGATCATTTTGATATTACGGCGTTTGATAGACCACCTGTTAATTGTAGATGTCTTATGGCTTCCGACATGACTTGATTTTGATTTTGGTTTCCTTGCACAGTTTTACCGTGGCCATGTATTCTAAAAAAAAAAGTACTCTAAAGTTGAAACCTATATATTAGTAATTTCTCGCTGCTTCATAATATTTTTATAATTCATAATTTTAAATAAAAATTCAAATTATTTATCTCTCAAGAATCAATTAATATGAAAATTGACATGTTTCATATCTTATCCCATCGACTCAAATTTTGTCTCAATTCTATTGTGTCTTGTCTCAAATTTTTCTTAGGTTGGATCGATTCTATGAACACTCCTAATTGAATATATGCTTATGATCAAACACAATTGGGAGCACATTCAAATTATCTTTTCATATCATAAAGATATAAGTTATTTTTCATTGAAAAAACATAAAACTCATTTTTCCAATCCAATTATCATACATGATAAGAAATTGAATTGTATATTTTGTAGGATTAATTATCAATTAAATAATGAACAATGGAATTATAAATAAAAAGAAGGATAATGTAAGTTGTAAATTACCCGAAAACCAATTCATTCCTTATCATATCAAAGCAATACTCAAAGAATACAAAACATAAGTGGGTCATTGGTCTTTTCAATATACATGTTTCGTGGCCACACCTCCACTTTCCTATTAAAGATATTGCCATAAGTAGAAAAAGCAGTGTGAAGAAGAAGAGGGAATTGTGACAACACAAGGAGAAAAACAGGAACACTTGAAAGGATTACAATGGGAACCACACCCCACGAGTAGTTTGTATGCTTTAGCATGAGACGAATGGTAGAAAGAAAGGCTATCATCATGCTTAAAATGGAGATGAAAAGTGAAGAGAGACCAAAAAACAATTTTGCGGGCATGGATTTGAGGAATTTTTCTTCTGAGTACCGAGATGTAAGGATTGCTAGAAACATGAGAACAGAAGTGGAAGCAGATAGGAGTGATAATATAGTTGAGAATAGAAAAGCCTTAAAAAATTGTTGTTTGATGAATAATGGGTAGCCAAAAGTTTGATCATTTCCTCCTAGCACAGTGAAAGCTACAGCAAACATAATCGTCACAATTAGGGTGCCGACAACTGAACAAGAAGATGCTGTAGCTTTTATCCATTCCTCTCCCTGCTTTATTAAATCTCTATGACTTTCTCTAAATCATTCTTCAGCTGACATGCCATCCTTGTTTCTAGCTCCCCTAATAGTAGGAGGTGTCAAACTCTCCACCTCCTGCATTTGTTAACCCAATTGTTAATCATTTAACGTGATATATAAAAATTGTAAATAATATATAAAAATTGTAAGGAACCCCACAGATGGATAAGGCATGTCTTTTTTGTTTTAGAAAAAATCACTCTCAAATCTCACACAAGCAATTTTTTTGGTTGAAAAAAGTTTAAGTAAGTGGCATTCTGAGGGCCTAGCAAGGCCAAAGCATACCTTTGAGTTCAAAGATTAGAGAAGTAGTTACAGATTGCTCAGTAACAAGGTTCTTACATTACCACTGGGATTTAAACCCATGACCTTGTGGGTTATTTGGCCAAATCCCCCATGTAGAAAAATCTCATAAAATTACAAAATTACTCAAAAGTCTCATGCTGTTTTAACTAAAATTGTCTATTTGCTATATTCAAGTTGTCAATTACTGCTGGATAATTATATAGCTAGTGATCGTAGTTGCTCAGTTGATAACTAAGCAACAATAAGTAACAACTATATCTATCAGTAATATAATTAATAACTTGGGTAAAAGATGTAGTACTTTAGAGTAATTTTCTGACTTTACAGGACTTTTATGCTTAGATTACTAAGTGGGGAACCTTGAGAGTGATTTTACCTTTGTTCTTACCTTAAACCACTGCAATTCTCTTTGCATTTGTAATGTCGGTCCATAGATGCGATTAAAAAAGGGAGCTGGAGCTTGAGTAGCTGCCACATGCAGCATTGTATTTCCATCAACATCTTTACTTGTAGCAACAAGATCCTTGAAACGAACACCATGAATAAGGTTGAAGACTCTAGCTTGTCGATTACGAACAGCATAGCAGAAAACGTTTTGATATGAGCTGTCCCCAATTAGCAGAAAATCTGGGTTCACTTTTGATATCTGAAGCACAAACTCAACATTCCCTTCTGTAGCTGCAAGAAATAGAGCATCTGCATAAACACTCACTTGGTCGATCCTGCTTGCATTCCTACAAACTAGGCCAAGAATTTCATCTGCTTGTGCACGCAGCAACTTCAGCTCCTGTATTTTCTTAATTACTGGTTTTGATATGCAATACAAGTGTTTTTTTTCCCTGTTAGTTAAGTTTATGATAATTCAAAACTTAAACACGCATGCAATTTTAGGAAGAAATTATAAATACACTCACACATTTAGCTATATATATATACCAACCTATAAGTTTATCGGTGGAGGAGATGAGCCTTTGTAGTAAACAATGCCCTGTCGCAACTTTGCAAGTGTCAGCTCCGTGCATCAAAAACTGGAAGAGCTAATCCTAAGTTTAAGAATATTTCTTGTACTTTTCGCTGAAGAAATGTTTAATAAAACTTTTGTTTTGTCTTTTTCTATATAAAAAAGGTTTAATTAAAGATGGTTGGCATTATCGATGTGAAACTAGAAGAAGAAAAGGGCAGGGAGAGAGAAAAGAAAGGGGTGAGAAAGAGAATCGAGAGAAGATGTCGGGAAAAATATGAATTCTTATTCAAATCAAGTCTATCCACCCTAAGGTTATTCATAGAGCTCTATAAACTTTAAAATAATAATAATTTAAATCTAAATTGTAATCTATGTAAAATTAAAGACAATAAAATGATTTCTTATTTTATTTGAGATATTAATGCTGAAATGATAAAGATATAATGAAAATAAAACCCTCAATTATTTTCTTCACACATATATGCTCACCTAGCGTTGTAAGCTTTTCTTGAGCTCTATCACTTGTGTCTTGTTGTTGGATGGGTAAACGATCACGATCCAATCTTGGGCTTGAACTTTTGTCTATATCTTACATTTTAAATAAGAGGAATCAGAGAAAAGGGGGATATATCCTCGATCGATCTTATAATTAACAATATATAATCTTTTTCCCATTTTAGTTTACACGTACTATAGAAAGGCACACAAATAATGAAATTGCTAATAAATCTATATATTAATCTATGATTGAATTTCATTCAGACACAAAATTAAATTAGGTTTCGGTCTACTTGAGCCATATAATGCTGCACTGTAGATTCTAAACAAAGGAGAGCATAAAATATAAACATTATTATGAAAAAGAGAGACAGTTAGACATATTTAACTAGGGATATACTTACAGTCAAAGATCAATCGTTTCCAAAAGATAAGTTCATTTCACCTGGGAATTGCAGAGTTCATGGTTGCTATACCATAAATTGGTTTCCAACCCTCTTTATCCGATGCAAAAAGCAAATCTTGGCATCGATTAAGCAAGTCCAAAGCAATATCTGTATATCATAGTAATACCATATGAGAAAGTACAACAAATCAGCAGCTAGTCGTATATTAGGGATTACCAAACATATATTTAAACGGTGAGAGAGAATATAAAATATTATAAATTAATCGATGATGACTAATTATAAGGTTCTCAAGTAACATTGATTACATACCGTAACATTGTGTTTGGAAACAGCAATGAAGTAGCATAGCACCCTGCAGAGGAGCATTCTCTGGGTGGAGGTAACTCAATGGAGTTTTAGAATAAAGATAACGTCCCATATGTTGATGACCATTCAGAAAAGCCAGAGTGAGAGGAAGTTCATCAGTTGAGTTTGCAATGCCGAGTATGTTGGTGTTCTTATTCACCAGGCATTCTGCAACTTGAGTGATTCCCGTGATTGTAGCAATTAAAAGAGGCGTGTTGCCAAAGTCATCAGTAGTTTCTAGGAATTCTGAAGGCACTAATCCCTCTAGCTCCTCATCTATAAACCTATGACCAAACAATGCAGCCACGTGAAGTGCTGTTTTGCCTGAAGAAGTGATTTTAGCAGTCAAGACACTAGGGTTTTCATCTAGGGATGCTTATGCCATGGTCCAGTTGTTTGCACATATTGCTTTGTACAATGTCTTCCCCTTTTCTATCTGTTCCACTCGCTCAGCCTTCACCCGTCTTTCTTCCTCTGCCGGCTCCCCCTCAGCCTTAGCCAGTCTTTCTTCCCCTGTTGCCTCCTCCTTGGCCTTAGCCAGTCTTTCTTCCTCTGCGGCCTCCCCCTCAGCCTTAGCTCGTCTTTCTTCCTCCGCCGCCTCCCCCTCAGCCTTAGCCGTCTTTCTTCCTCTGCTACCTCCTCCTCAGCCTTAGCCTGTCTTTCTTCCTCCGCTGCCTCCTCCTCGGCCTTAGCCGTCTTTCTTTCTCTGTTGCCTCCTCCTTGGCCTTAGCCTGTCTTTCTTCCTCCGCTACCTCCCTGTCAACCCTAGCCGGTCTTTTTTCCTTTGCCTCCTTTTCAACCTTAGCCTTTCTTTCTTCATCCACTGCCTTTTTCTCCGCCTTAGCTCGTCTTTCTTCCTCCGCCTCTTTCTTTGCCTTGCCACGTTCCCTTGGATAGTCAACTACAACTATCCCACCATACTTCTATGCCGCCTCTCTTGCACTTATCACTGTCTGTTCTTCTGTTGGTATTTGAGGCCATCTTGGTCTGATTGCCGGTCTATAAAATTTGTCGATTAATTCAAATCCTTCTAGCCCTATCTTATGCTGGTCTGCTGCTCGGGTTCTTTTCTCTGTGATGATCAATTAATGTATCCACAACATGTAATTAAGCTTGCATGAATTTATGATTAGGTTAAATAGTTAAATCGTGAAAAGAATCTAAAGGACATAATGTTTTCTTCAATTTTGAAATTATTATGGTACTTAAACTAGGTGTTAAATTAATTGTTATAAGAAGAAAAAGCTTAAGCACTTAGCTCCTAGTAACATAAGGACATGTGATTTTTTTATTCATGTTATTGATACTTTTAAGTTTTAACCTTACTTATCCCAATATTTACAACATTTATAGCTATATTTTTTATATCCCTAAATCATTTGAGGTATCTAACAAAGTGAGGGGGCGATTTTTCTGTCTCGTCGAGATTTCTTGACTTTAAAAAAATTAAACCAAACATATATCATGATTAAAAAATTAGTACATTCTAATTTCTAACTCTTCCAATTCACTTTCTAACATTTGCAAAATTTATACTTGTATATATTTTGAGATCCCTAAATTTGAGATGTCTAACAAAGTGTTGCGGGAAAACTGTGGAAATCACTCTTAAATCCCACACCAGCAATTTAAATATAGAAAAAGTCTCACAAAATCACAAAAAAAGGATTGAAAAAGTAAAAGTAAAAGTAAAAATAAAATAGTCAAAATGTGGAGGGAGGGAAAAGATTTAATTTATGAGGCTGAAAATCATGATTCATGAGATTTTTGAAGGGTGTGATGATTCTTATATTCATGATATGTGTTATTAAGTTTTATTATACTTATGAGAGAGGAGAGTGATTTAATTCATTTTTGTTTTAATTTTTTAAATCCATTTAATTCACATCCTTTCTAACAACTAAATGAGGCCTTAGTTGTTAAATGAACAACTCCACTAACAACTATCTAACAGTAATTGATAACGTCAATATAACAAATTGACAAATTCAATAAAGAGTAATTTGTGATTTCATTAGATTTTTCTATAATTTGATTGTCTACATGGGACCTGAGAGTGTTTTTCTCAAAAACTTTTCTAGCTCGTTGAGATTTCTTGACTTCAAAATATTAAACCAAACAATAAAATGAAGGTTAATTAACTTTTTTCTATAAAACAAAATGAAGATTTTTTTGTATAAATGGCCTGACCTGATTCCGGTAACTTCAACGACGAATAGCTAGGCATTCTGACTATAATGCACTCAAATCTCCAGTTTTATATATCTTGTCACCATGAAAGAAAAAGAGTAAATTACTAAATCAAATATATCGACATGATACTTTTTTGAATTATATTCTTGTCATTATCATTTAGTAATTTATTTTTTATGGTGATGTATGAGCTTATTATGAGTACTTGAAGTATGATATAGTCGGGATAATACAAAAACATAAATAAGATTCAAAGTATTGCAACATGTATGTTGGGTTCAAAAAATATATATTGACTGCAAAGTATTTTGAGGTAAAAAGAAAAAGTATTGCAACAATATACAATACTTCGCAGTTAATATTACAAAAAGGTTGTGTATATTATATGTAAAGAATAACTTTAAAATATGTTAATAACTAGCTAGTACGCGGCTATTAATAAGAACAAGCGCCTTACTCAATCTGTTGCAAATAAAAAGAGAAGTTATTGTATCAAAAAAAAAAAAGAGAAGTTATTGTATCAAAAAAAAAAAGAGAAGTTATTATGATCAATAATAACTAATTTCATCAACGTACTCAAAAATAAACATTATTTTTAATCACAAGCCATTATTATTACTCAGTAAAAAAGCAAGTATATATATTGCATTAAAAAAGAAAAAAAATAATAACAAGAACGAACTGCACTTACCACTTGTTCTTTGCTACGGCCACCACAGAAGCGATGTGAACGTAGCATTGCTCCATCTCACCAGCAATATATATTGCACAATCGAACAAATGTTTGCTTGCGTTAGTTTCCAACGAATCATCAACCGCTTTCTTTTTGAATAAAATAATTCTTGATTAATTGTAATATATTACCAGAAGAAAACACATAAATAATGTAAGAGTCAAAGGATTACATCACAATACATATTTTTGAACAACCTAGATTCACAAAATAGTACTCCCCTGTTAAAAAATGTAAAGCATTTTTAATCAAACCTCACTCCCAATAAAGTAGTTATTTATCTTCAAACTAATTCTATATTTTCACATTTATCCTTATTTAATAAGATATTTCACTCTAAATTAAATATAAAATGATTTATTCAATAGGAGTACTTTTTTAAAAAAAGCAATGATTACATTTTGAAAGACTAAAAATGCTTTAAATTTTTTAATATCAAACTTCTTAAAAAATGCCTTATTTTTTAATAGAAGGAGTAATACAATGGGCAATCTTTATCTTTATATCTTGTAAAGTTGGTCAAAGTGCTTCCAAAAGATTTTATTTTGCTTTATAATTCAAAATTAATAAATTTATTTAATTTTTTAAATTAAAGCTGCAGGCAACACGACATTAAAAAAATATTTTTAAAAATCTTATTTTTACTAAAATATACATTGAGGTAATAAATTTTAGATTCATCTATATATAATTTTAAATTTTTAATATACCCAGTGCTTGGGATAAAATTTAATTTTGGCCCCAAGCCCAACTATTTGGGCTAAAAATTTCACACGAGTCTTTTAAAAAAAGGTAGTTGCTTGTTATGAAAACAAAGTGATGCATCACTTCAGAAATGGCAAAGAGTGAAGGAATTTATAAGAAAAATTTTGACTAGTGGCCTTAAAAAATGTAGCATGAAACCATAAGAAAACTATTACTTTGTGCCTGTAAAAGGAGAAGCTACCAAACCCACAAGGTCTCTCTTCAACTCTAGAAACTACACACAATCTCTACAGACATTTTCAATAATTCAACCTTAAAATCCACTTGCCCAGTGCAAAAATCTTGTTCATGCGTTATTCTTTGCTTCACCTAGCGTGACTCCTTTTATCCTCGAGAAAATTTGACATGGTGTCTGTAGCACACTAGCATTTGATAGATAGCAGTGAGTTCTCCAACAACCAATAGAGCTTCAGCTCGTAGCAGAATAACAGTAATAGTGTGCCAATGCTTTTTTCTTTTAATTTTTCATCTTTTATTTCCAATATTTCTATTTTATCATTATCAATATCATGTATGATGCAAGTCTCACATGTTTCTTGATCTTTATTTCTCCATTCCCTTTACTTTTAAGAACTTATATTCGAAAAAATTGTGATAAATGAGCAAATTATCCCCAAACTTTAAGTCAAATAATACCATAAACATGAACTCGTTTATTGTGTAAATTGTTTCTTTAATTTTTAAAAACAGTGCAATCAAGCCCTTATTGTTAACGAAAGTTAACTTTGACTATTAGCTTCTTAGAAAATGATTGAAAAGGACCTTAAAATTACAAAAATGACCAATATCTAAGTGCATGTAATACTTTTTCAGTACAACAATAACATATCACACAAACAGTAGAAAAGTTAAAAAATCTTACCTAGCCTCTTCTACAAGATGTAAGCAAGTTTCCCCTTGTCACTAGCCACATAAACACTTGTACTTCTTCAGTCCCTTCCAACTCCAAATCTGTTCCAGATCTTTCCCCTAAGATCCTTATCATAGCCCTCCCTCCTTTTTTTTTTTTTTTTGCTTTCACTCTGGTATTCTAGGTCTTTAACTCAAACTAATCTAATCAGCAACTTGTGGGCACACTTCTTTAAGAGGCATACCTCCCATTGAAAATTTAATTATTGCTGCATACCCAAAACTAAAACTTAAAACCTCTAATTAAGCTGTACCAACCCTTTAGTTAGTTAATCCAAGTACCCAGCAGTCCTCAATCCTCACCACCATAACCCTTTAATACATCAAACATATCAACTGAAAACTTCCTGTTTGCGGATTTGCACCATATATATGATAGAATCTTCCCTTTCACTCTTAACAGGAGGAATACATGCTTGGTAATCCTTATAGCTCTAATATTTCTTATTCCATTCAGCTTTATTTCCATCTCAAAGATTTCTTCGTTAGAAAACATAACCATACTCATGTTATTACAAGTACAATGGCAAGTTCCTGTAAAGTACTCAATAACATACAGCGACAACAACAATATCGTTATTACTTTTGTGTTGATAGGTATTAGATACTACCAACTAATACAAATCCAAGCAAGATATCAAGCCATAAATGGGAAAAAGCTAAGACTAACTATATACACACATTCATCTGGTTTTGCTTTTCATCATATTCATACGAGGTTTTATTTAATGGGTGTTATAAAGTCCCATACTATTCAACCCAATTAACTTCATTAGTGATGAAATAGCATTATTATATCAACCAAAAAGTACTGCAAATGCTATTGCATTAAAAATATAAATCATGTTTGAAAGAACGAAATGCACATACCACCGTCCCTCGCTTCGACCACCATACGAAAGCTATGCCTAGAAATGACCCCATCTCACCAGCAATATAATATAATATTGCTGTAATGGAACATATATATAATTAAGCTTGCTTGCGTTAGTTTCCAAGGAATCATCTATCCCTTTTTTTCCGAGTATTTTATATCTTCATGCATTTGTTAAATATATTTGTTGCTTTTCAAAATTTTGTGGTTTTACTTTTTATAGTAGAATCAGGCCTGTTTGTTTCAAAAACTGTTTTTGGTTTTTAAAAACTTGTTTGGATAAGTGCTTTTGATTTAATTGTTTTCAAAACTATTTTCTATTTTTTGAAACAAAAAAATAAAAATAACCTCAAGTTGTTTTCATTTTATTTTTCTTGTTTTCAAAATACATTACATTAAATTATTGAAAATTACAATTACCTTAACCAATTTTTATCAAAAATCACCACTATTAACTACCTAACCATCACTATCAGTTTATTTTTTAATTTTAAAACTATTTTTAAATTAATATAATCAAACATATTTTTATTTTGTTTTGTTTTGAAAAATAATTTTAAAAATTATATTACAAAATAGTTTTTAAAACCAAAAAATGAGAACAGAAACCAAAGAGTCCTCAGTTTCTCCTTTTCAATTATATGTTGCTTGATGACCTTGGAGGAAGCGAATGACAATGGAGGATGGAGGAGAAGAGATAATTGAGATCCACTTTAGTTTCTTGTCTTCCCCTACAAGGATTTACATTGATGTAACATTATCTCTCAAGCTAATTTTGGATGCAATATAATTAAGGAAAATTACAAGCTTCAAAATTTAATGTAATTGTGATGCCTTGCAAATCTTGATACATCAACAAAACAGGCATTTAGTTATAGAAACATTTTGGATATATTGTATAGGAATCACAGTCTTTGTATAAAACAGTGCAACTTATAGATTATGTAGTATATATGACTATTAATACTGATCATTCAATAGAAGACTAGTTACCAAAGTTTCCTAAAAAAGAAAAAGAAAAAAAAAAGGAAAAAGGAAAAGACAAAAGGAAAGAAAGAAAAAGAAGAAGTTCCAAATATATTCCACGATAAAGTTAAAAGCTCGCGCTTTATATTTTATTACCGTCTTTGGAACAAGTTGTCCCTTTTTGTTATTATGAACCCCTTAGGCATATAAAATAAAATGAATTATTTGGTTATGTCAATCAATCAATATATATAATATATGAATTACAATATTCATAACTCATGATAAGCCATAATTAGTACATCTCATTTTATTTGACTTCGTGCAAAACATGAATATAATGTCAGATTAAATACTAAATGGTTCTTTAAAAAATACAAAAATAAATTAAAGTGTGTTGAATACGTAATTAATACAATGATAGTTATACATATATTGATTTACAGTTTTTCGCATCCTGTAGTTGAAAAAATGAAAAAGGAAAATTATATAGAAGCCTCATATAAATAAATTAATCACTAACTAATCCCATGAATTTAGTTATTACATATTAATAAGTTTCAAATTAAAAGTTAGGAAGTAATGTTGAAAAATGTGTGAAATTACTCGAACAAACCTTTGACCAAATATATAGTAATAACAGGGTAAGAAGGAAGTCGCCTTTTTCAATTCAACAATTTTTTAGTCTTTTCTTAAGACTATATGTCTACTATTTGTTCATATACTTAGAAATTAGATGAAAGACTCTCTTCACCCTGAGTTAATGATATAACATTTACATATATAAGTTGTCCTTAAATTAGGTTATCTTTTCAAATTAGGGTTGGGTTTAGATTATTTGGGCCTGGTGAGATGGTTAACGGTCCAAGTAGATGGCACTTATTATGTAGCAGCCATTGTTTTGGAAATAGCCGGATCTGATGTTGTTTTGGGCTTCGCATGGTTGGCCACGTTAGGCCCACACATTGCTGATTACAGCAAGTCCACTAGCCATTTTATTACTTTAAAAGGATCCACTGCAGCACATTGTTCAACAGCACGGTACCATTAGTTTCGTCGTCTTCAAGATACGTGTGCTCTGGGTGAAGCTTACTTTCTGCGGATGGTCACTGTGAGTAACACCCATGAACCCGAAGAGGTTTCGACAGATACGGCTGAACTTTTCACCAAATATCAGCAAGCATTTGAGACTCCACATGAGTTACCTCCACCTCGTGATTTTGACCATCGTATCATACTAAAGCCTGGAACTGAACCGGTGAAAGTGCCGCCATAGCGGCACCCATATAGCCAGAAAGCAGAGATTGAACGATGGTGGGGGAGATGTTTCAGGATGGGCTTATTCAACCTAACACCTGTCCCGTTTCTGCCCCAGTTATTTTGGTTAAGAAGAAAGATGGGTCTTGGCGCTTATGTGTGGATTACCAAGCACTTAATGATGTCACTGTGATAGACTTATTCCTGATGCCCACTGTCGATGAAACATTCAATGAGTTAGGTGGTTCAGTTTACTTCTCCAAGATGGACTTAAAAGCAGGTTATCATCAAGTGAAGTCAGGATGCACCCTGCACCCTGATAATAGAGAGAAGACAGCATTCCCCAGCCACCAAGGCCTCTACATATTAATTTGCAATTTATGTTTTAAATTTTAATAAAAAAAACAAATTATTTATTCTCAGATCATATTAAAATTTAAAAAATAAGTTACAGATTCATCATAATAAAGCCGCAAAATTGAGAATTGAACTTACAAATTCATAAAGTTTAACACTTAAAACTTAAGTTAAATTAATGGGTCCTTTTAAAACCTCTTTGTCATTCTTTCAATATTTTATTTTAAGACATTTAATGAGTTAAATGTCATTTTTTGATTCTAGTAAATTAGTTAAAAATATCTTATAATAAAGGGAAGAGGGAGAGGGAATAGCTATCTTAAAAGCTCATTGAGAGAGTTTTGCTAACCTTGTAGTCTCTGCCCAACTCAACCTGTATTAGTCATGGACCAACGTGACTTCCAAATATAAAGTGCCTTGATGCATGTTTATGTGCTTGTTTTTCTTTTACCAAGATCAAGCTTGTTCAATGGGTAAATTGCAGGCTATAAGTGGAGCCAAGATGATGTGAGCAATCAAGATAATTGGTGTTGACACCAATAATGGTCATTCTCATAAACCCTCTTCCCAATTAGTGAAGGACCTCACTAATGGCGGAGTAGGTGTGGATTATTCATTTGAGTGCACAGGTGTTGCCCCTTTGCTAACTCAAGCATTTTCACTCAACTATAAATAAATCTTGTGTTATTGCATAACTTGTTTTTTTTTAAACACTGCATATGGATTATTTCAAAAAAAAAATTAAAGAACTTTTGAAACCTCTAAAGTTTTATTTCATGAAAAACTCATCATGTATTTTCCTTATGATAATATATGTTATAGCAAGGATTGTTAATGTAGATATGACTTTATATATTAACAATCTTGATAATTGTATTTTTTTTTTTAATTCAAATTTACAGAGGACATTCTTTTAAATCATAAAAGCATTTTTATCATTTTTTTTGGAAATAAATTCAATATATATTAACCAAAATAAAACATGTATTCTGTTTTGCGATCAAAGGATTTTTAAAAGAATTTATATTCCAATTCTATTTACAATATACACACAGGGGCAGGGCACTGGAAAGGCAATGGCAATTGGTGCATGAACAGAACAATTTGTTGAGGTCAACTTGGTTGGGCCTTCTTCTTGGTAGAACTTGAAGGGTTTCATTTTTGGAGGCTTAAAGCCCAAATCAAACCTCCCTATTTTGGCTACCAAATGCAAACACAAGGAGAATAATTTCTATACACAAATTTAAATTGCATTAGATGTGTAAGGGAAAATTGCAAATAAGTCTCAATTAAGGGTCCACAAATTAAAAAAATAAAAAAGGATACTCTCAAGTTTTGTTGGACTTGATTATAATAAAATTCAACTGTAGGACAATACAAATATCCTTAAATCCACTCTCTTTTACTAGAACTTTGGCCAGTGTTAACTAGTTGCTGGCAGTTGTTGATTAGTCAACCTTTAGTCAAAGAAAATGATTGTTTTTAAAAATTTTAACATCCATATTTACAAGTCAAACATTTGACATTTACTTATCAAATATTTGAAACTTATAAGTGAAACATACATTTATAAATGAATCTAAGAATCTTTTTAATATTTATAAGTGAAATTTTATGAATTTACCAATGAAACCTTATCGATCTACAAGTACTTCTCAAATTTACAAGTTGAAGTTCCAGCCGAAGAGGGTGAATCATCTTGCAATAAAAACTAATTACAACAAAGTGCCACGGGACTTGAAATATTTTTTTCTTATTTTTAAATAAGACCCTTGACTGAGACTTATTCATAATTTTTTTCCATATACAATTAGTAATATAAATCAGAATGCACACGTTTAATTTTGCACACATCCTGATCAATTATAAACTTAATTAACAATCTTAAGAAATTAAAGTTTAAGGGCTTATTTAGTTTCTGTTCTTATTTTGGCTTTCGCGCCAGGGCGCCTTTATTCGTAGTTGGCCATTGCTTGTTCGTGACTAACGCGCAACGGCTTTCTTGCCCCGTTTTCTTGCTCGTTGCTTATTGTGTACTAACACCTTTACTTGATAGGGTAAGATCGACTGGTATTGTTTTTAAAATATGTTTTATAATACAATTTTTATAATTGTTTTTCAAAATAAAATAAAATAAAAATCTGTTTGGTGTATTAATTTAAAAACAGTTTTTGAATTAAAAAATAGATTGATAGTGATAGTTATAAATAATTAATGGTGATAATTTATGAGAAAAATTAATTAAGTTAACTATAATTTTTAATGATTAAATGTAATATATTTTGAAAACAAGAAAGATAAAATAAAAACAGGTTGAAATTGTTTCTATTTTCTTGTTTTAAAAAGAAAAAAATAAAAGAAATTTTGAGAATAATAAAATGACAAACACTTACTCCAATAAGTTTTTAAATTTTTTTATTTTTGAAAATAAAAAAACAGTTTTTAAAGATTCAAAACAAACAGACACTAAGGGCCTGTTTGTTTTCTAATTTTAAAAATTATTTTTTGTTTTTAAAAATAAGAAAATAAAGAAATTTATTAGGATAAGTGTTTTTCATTTAATTATTTTTTAAAAAAAATTATTTTTTTTTTAAAAATAAAAAATAGAAACAACTTTAAGTTGTTTTCATTTTTTTTATTTTTTAAATACACTATATTTAATTATTAAAAATTATAGTTATTTTAATCAGTTTTTATTACTAATCACCACCATTAACTCCTTATAACTATTACTATCAATCTGTTTTTAAATTTTTAAATTATTTTATAATTAATATAACCAAATAAATTTTTATTTTGTTTTGTTTTAAAAGTAATTTTAAAAGTTATATCACAAAGCAGTTTTTAAAAATAAAAAATGAGAACAAAAACCAAACAGATCCTAATTACTTCAGTCACGCTCTAGTTTATTTTTGTTAAGAGATATTATATCGTCGGGAAAACAAAAATTATAAGAGGAACACCATATACTTGCATTTGAAAGCATTTATTATTTACATTATCTAGATTTGATTTGAGAGGTTGATATCATTGCTTGGTTGATTTGATGGGTAGGAGATTAATATTATTTTGTATCCAACTTTCCTTAAAATAAAGCATGTTAAAAATTAATTATAAATATTAAAAATATAATAGGTACAACTTAAATTTGGAGGGTCTAAATAAAGTTTGCTAATAATACACATCTTAGGTACAAATACGAAATCTTGATTCGAGGTCCACGTGCATATTCAATCTAGATCATTGCCAGAAACTCTTCAAAAATGCGCAACAAAAAAAAAAATCTTATTGTAAATAAATGACCTGATTAGAAATAATTATAGAGTATAATAATTAATTGTTTTCCTCCTGTTTACAGGATTTCCCTCTTGATGGACTTGAAAACCATGAGTCCCTTTAACAGAGGTAGGCAAAGCATTTGAGCTATTGAAACGACCAGATTGTATCAAAGTTATCATCAAGATATGATGTTCATTTTCATTTGACTCTCAGAAATTAAAGAAACACATCTCATTATTATTTTTATTTCTTGCTTTGTTCTTTAAAATTTCTGTGATTATACATCGAGTATCGTTTTTGCCTCTCAATTGCTCGCTCAAAAGCATATGATTTTCTTAACTTATGTGATGCAATTTTTTCCTTCAACATTCAAAAATGATACATTAAATATTTTGCCGTTAAAAAGTTAACTTTAATTAGTTGATTCCAAAATTGTAAAAAAAAAAATCTCACTTTATAAAATAAGACCCAAAAAATTACACACAAATATCTTATAAAAAATTAATATAAATTAAATCCCTTAAATTATATATAAATACCTGGACATGTACACTTGTTATTTGTTATCCAAGTACAAGACCAAAGGACAATTTTGATCAACTAGTTTAACTAGCTATTAGGTAATTAATGGATCACAATTATTGGTATAACAACACTAGTAAATTATTAAAAAATATTATATTTGTTTTAATAATATCATATTAAAATATTGACAATTTAATATATTTAAATTATTATTATTACTACTATTATTTACAAATCTTCACACACAATTTATAAATTAACTTTTGATATTCACACACATTATCTAAAAATTTATAACTTAACTAGTGTATATGATATTTACAAAATAAACATGCTTTTTATACTAGTTGAAAATTTTTTAAGGACAACTTATTAATTTTGGAAGAAAACTTATAAATTATCACACAATATTAATGACTTAATCAATATTAATTTTTTTATAGGACATTTATTTGTAATTTTATATATTTTTTCTGTAATTTCTGAAACCTTTTTCTATAATTTTCTAGATTAACTAATTGTCGTGTGTGTTGGCGTGAGCCTTTTCTATCAATAACAAGTGATAACATGCAGATGTAAAACGATTTACAGTAATAGATTTTCATTACCTTCAGAACTGCAAAAGGAGAGAATGCAGCAAAACTAGTATTAGTTATCCCTACAATGTTGAGAGTGATCTCAATTATTGACCAACATAATATGTGACTAACAAGAATTAAAACCTAACGAAAATTTTAGATCAACCAAACATACATTCCTATGCATTGTAAATAATTTTGACTAGTGATCTCAAATTATTCACCAAAATATTGCATGACTAACAAGAAACATAATTGTTAAAACCTAATAAAAATTTAGATCAACCACACATATTTTCTTATGCTCGTATACAAAATCTAAAAATTGAGTTTCACTATTTACCTCTAATAAATGATGCAACTTGTTATACTTTTTATTAAATGTTGAAATCAGCATTGACTGTGAGTAGGACAATATGGGACTTAACAATATTTTTGTGGTAGAGGGGATGTGCTCACATGTTTCACATTTAGCGATACCATGTTTCACCTAACAATTAAATAATGATAGTTGTTTATCATCAGCATCATTTCTTACTGGTCATCAATATATGGCTCTCAAGTCTTCTGCGTGTGTATTGTACAAAGCTTTCCACCATTCTTCCAACATTTCTCACGTTGTACCTAACCCCTTTGGTTCTCTATTTTCTTAAGTTCAATACTTGAGTTTTTAGTGTCCTAATCATTTATATCTCATCAAATTTCATTTCTTCCAGGTTACTGATTTCCAAATTTATCTCCTATTACATTTCTATACGTGCATTTGGGGAAATTATGGTGAGAGACCCCAAGAACTCACTTGTCTCGAAGTCGAGTTCAATTTCAATTCGAGATTCTCGCATCTCTAACAAATTGAGGGAGTCAGCTACAAACTTGCTTTCAAACGCGAAAGTAGAGCCATCTAAAATTTTGTCAGCCATTCAGATCAACCACTATTAGTTACACACAAGACAAGCGGCATATCCTCAAATATCATACAATGCACATGGCCTACAATCCAGTTATGAATATATTGATATTGATATTCTCCATGAAAAATGCTTGTATTAAATCTACCAACAATGTCCCACAAAGTTTGAATATCCAACCACTTTAAATTCACAAGTGAAAATTATTTATTTATGAGACATATCCTAGCCAATTCCACAACCCAAAACCTTTCTTCTTTTGAATCCGAAAGGTAAAGCAAGTTGAGCATAATGTCAAACAGCTCACAAGTCATAACATGCAAAGGTAACATATTATGACACTGGCCTGCAGTTTTCAATTTCTTCCTCATGTTTATTTTACGTGAATTTGATTTATAATGTTTTGTAAAATTTATCAATACTATACTTAAATGTTAAGGTCATAAAATTCATACATGAATTTGTCAGAGTGAGTCGATTAATTTCTGCGGTTGATGCATTGATTATATTTTGGGTTTGACTTGTGAAATTGTACATAGGTGCAATATGCTGGGGATTAGGGGAAGACGTGAAGGTGGAAAAGATACAAGTAGATCCACCTAAAGCTTCTGAAGCTCGAGTTAAGGTTCTTTGTGCTAGTGTTTGCCACACAGACATCTTGAGAGCTCGAGGTTTTCCTTGTGTGAGACTCTTTAATTCTCATCCACTTGAATTGAACCTCACAACACTCGCACACTGTATAAACAAAAAGGAATTATGTTTTGACAAGTGTCTAACATTCATATGCATAAATTTCGTTTGAATTGTATGGAGACTACAGAAATCTTCCCTTTATTTTTAGGATATACACACAGTTCCCCTGAAAATAGAAATGATATGTATGATTTCAATAAAAAGGAAACATTCAAGTCTATGTAATTCATTCTTTACTTACAGAGGAATTTGTGTAAACTTGAAAATTCATTCCTGAGGTAACGAAAACTTGAACACCCAAATCCATTTTGTCTTTTATTTATTCTATGGGCACGTTGATTTATTTTCATTGGTTTAATGCCACTAAGAGCATATTATACTCAATAAATTAAAAAGAATCCAAGACAAGTTGCACTTTTCATAGGTGATAAATATTGCAGCTCCGTTATGTACTAATCCAAGTTGATGTGCAGCCTTCTTTTCCTCTAGCACTTGGGCACGAAGGAGTAGGGTAAGCTTCACAATCCATCACATTTATTCAAACACATATAATCAATTTATCAATCAATCACTTATCACTTATTCTATTGTATTAATCAACGAGCACCTTGCATCATTGTCATGAATGTAAATGCAGTGTTGTGGAGAGCATAGGGGAGAAAGTGACGAACCTGAAAGTAGGAGATTTAGTGATTCCAACATACATTGGAGAGTGTCAAGAATGTGAGACCTGTATCTCAGAGGAATCAAACATGTGCATGAGATATCCTTTCACAGTGAGTGGGCTAATGCCTGATGACACATCAAGGATTTCCATTAGAGGGCAGAAGGTGTACCATACGAGTAGCTGCTCAACATGGTGTGAGTACATGGTTAGTGATGCAAACTACCTTGTGAAAGTTGATCCAAGTATTGATTTGGCTCATGCTACCTTCATCTCTTGTGGATTTTCTACTGGTTTTGGGGCTGCTTGGAAGACAGCCCAAATTCAAAGTGGATCAACCATGGCCGTTTTTGGCCTGGGAGCTGTTGGATTAGGGGTAAGTGCTTTTACCAAAACGACAATAACAAGTCTTATCTCACTAAGTGAGGTAAGCTATACTTCTACCAAAACAAAAAAATAAAAAATAAACAAAAAGGCACTTCTTTTCTAGTTTTCATAAGTATAGTTTATCATGACAAAGCTTGTTGTTTAATGGGTAATTAAATTACTTGTGATGCAGGCTATATGTGGTGCCAAGATGATGGGAGCGACTAAGATAATTGGGATTGACATAAATGAGAAGAAGAAAGAAAAAGGAGAAGCTTTTGGGATAACAGACTTCATAAATCCTAATGATCATTCTGATAAGCCTTCTTCTCAATTGGTGAAGGACCTCACTTGTGGACTTGGTGTGGATTATGCCATTGAGTGCATTGGTTTTGCCCCAATGGTTACTCAAGCCCTAGAATCCACCAAAGTGGTAAACATACAGTACCTAATAGTCAATCATCATAATCATCTATATCAATCAACATATATATATATATATATATATAATTTACAAAAAAAAAATCATATTGACAAATTGTACATGGTGCAGCTCGCTGGTGCAATGTATGAGTTTAATATCTAATTTGTTTATGTTTTGATATGGTTATCTAGTTAGGTTAGATTTGAGCACCGTCAAGTGTAATCATAGGTATAATTTTTGTAAAAGACATTTTCAACATTCATGGATTCAAACTATTAGATATAACAAATTTAGTGCCATTAATTTTTAATAAAAACTTCAGATATGTCTTGCAAACTCACGATTACTCCTATTTGTCTAATTTCAAATTGCATTAATAATTCTTTCTCTACCAGGGGAGAGGACAAGCAATAGCAATTGGTGCAGGAATAGAAGAATGTGTGCAAGTCAACTGGTTGGGTCTTCTTCTTGGAAGAACTTTAAAGGGTTCCATTTTTGGAGGCTTAAAACCAAAATCTCACCTTCCTATTTTAGCTACCAAATGCCAAAATAAGGTGAAATTCTCTACACACAAATCTAAGCTTCCTTGTTTCAAAAAAAAAAAAGATTCTGAATTTCCTATATTGTTAGTAATGTTAATCATGATGCATATCTATTATTTTGTGCAACACCTCAATTATATATCTAATCATGAATTGAGTTAAATTTCTATCTTTTTTTCCGGAGAATCTAAGTTTAATAATCATTTTTCAGTTAAACTTGCGTTTTAAAACGATTAGTATATCCTTCCGAGAAATGTTCAGATGACATGTATTACTTGCACAGAATGGCTTCATTTAAGATAAGTCATTCATGTAAGGTCCATACATTCGGATTTGATTTTACATATTAATAGTGTACTCCTGATATGCTTTTTATTTTTATGTGAATTGCCTGGATTTAATTTTAGGCAGTTCAAATATTATTATATTTTTTGTATTTTTAAATTAAATATTCCTTTTCCTTCTTTTTTCAATTTAAACATATTACTCCCTTCATTTATATTTATGACTAATCTTTAACTAATTTACGCAAACTAAGAAAATGGTTTAAGTTAATTGATATTTATAACATTAAAAGTCCTTTGAAAAAGACTTCTGTAAAATTTAATAAAGAAACCCTCAAATATGTACCATCCCAATCGAATCTAAACGATCTTAGTAGTATATATAGACACTAAGTGAAAATCAATGACCTGTACAGAACATTTGCTTTTGTAGAAAGAGAAATATTTGTTTAACAATGGACTACTTTTATCTCATTCACAGGATTTCCCTATCGATGAACTTGGGACCCATGAAGTCCCATTAACAGAGATAAGCAAAGCCTTTGAGCTCTTGAAACAGCCAGATTGTGTCAAAGTTCTCATCAAAATGTGTGACGTTTAACTCCATATGGTTCTCAGAACTCACAAGACAATAAAGGGGTCTCATTTCCTACATCTAAAACAATGTGTCCTAAGATTGTTTCCGTCTTGATAAATGTTTCTATTGTCACGCACAGAGTATGCGTTCCCCTTTGTCTTCGACTTTTCATGTTTATGATTTGCTTCAATCTCTTTGATACAAATATTAATGACAGTGAAATAACCTATTTCATAAATGAAAATATCTATATATAAATAACATTAAAATTATAGCAACTTACACTGTTCATCGGTTATGAACAATCTAGCTTATTTTTAGATTCTGTGAAGCATATGGGACCCATATACTTTAAAAAGCGAATAAAAATCAAGCAAATTAGTAGGAAGTTGTATTATTCAATGAACAATGCACCTGTTTATATGAACTATGTGCCCTTAATAGTTTTCATAAGAAGTATAAGGGGAACATATGTAGTTCAAGTATATGGATCTCTTTTAGAAGAAACATGAAGAAAAGGCATCTGATAGAGAATATATAACAAGTCGTAAGTCAAGTAAATTCAATGCATATTCGTTTAGAAATTTAAATCATGCATAGAGGTTTAGAAGAAAAACAGATATCCCCCTGTTTCTACAGATTAAGATCAATTAAGAGCAAAATATTTCATAATGCGTTGCCAAATACTATGCATGAGATAAATTGCAAGACACACCGACATGTTTGAGATCAATAGTTTTCAATGCAAGGAAAATTGAGCATCTCGTCACAGGCCAAAAATTTTTTACCTCCAGCATGCAGAGTATGCAACAAAATGGAATCGCGAATGGTGATATTAATAATTGCATAAAACTAAACCTATCAAAACATATCACCATATAATGAATTGAGATGAGATTTAAGTCAAGGCAGAAAATACCAGTAACGAAAAAGGTGAGTTAGCTTTTATTGTGATAGCTTGCTCAAACAAGTTGTAGACGACAATTAGACAAGAAGCTTGAATATTCATGAAGAGATCATCGGTCGTACGATCATTTTAGGATTCTCTGGTAGGTCATACACAAAATACGCCTGCAAAATTTAAATTGAAATCTTTCAAGGTGTTGACCTGCAACATGTTAAGCAATCATGAGAGTTTATCCAGAATGTTAATTTCTCCTTTTGGGAAAGGCACCTCAAACTCAGAGAGATAAGCTTCCCAAGTAGGAGTCCTTTTTTTTTTTTCTTTTTAATCAAATCCTAAGTAGGAGTCTAAATAAATGTGTTATACTAAATCTTTACATTCACACTGTGCAATAGTAGCTTATAATTCTAACTAATTTTAGTCCATGACTCATAAATACCTTTTTCGTCGGTTGATATCAACAGTGGATGCTGGCTTTGACTTCGCATAAACATTTTCTGATTTGTTGTTTTTTATTTCGCTAATTGGTATTTAAATAAGCCGATTTTCACAAATATGCTTGTTATTTACATCAAATGAAGCGAAATTTGTGGACAATATTCGGAGATTCTTGCAGCAGCAGCGAATCTCAAAATTATATCACTACATATATCACGTGCTCTTGCAAAAAATTCAATTCCCTAAGACTGCTAACAGCATAATCAACAGAATTGCTCCTTCAATTGGTACTTCAAGACCTAAATAACAATTATGACCTATTCCCTGTGCATAGACCTTAATTTCTTAATCCCTTTCATACGCAACTTGATTGGGTCTAAAATTTGAAAGTTGCTCTGCGTCCTGCAATGTCCCTTTTCGATGAACAAGATGGTCTTAATAAGGACATCCATACCAAGAAATCGGCTTCATCAACGTTAATGATAGCTACTATTCCAGGTACAAAACAAATAAACTCAGGGCTAGAGCTGGGAATTTCACCGTATAATCTACAATTGTAAACAGAGAATCTTACGATGGCAAGGAAATGAAGAAACCCCTACCAACACCACCACCACCACGACGTGAAATAGATAATAACATCAATCGATGGATGAGGAAGAGGGATGCGAAAAATTGCAAATTACCTTCAGCTTGATGTCTTTGGACAAATGATTCAGGTTGCACTAGGCAGACGCCATGTTCCCCCTCCATCACTAGCTTCTCCAGAAGACAATTTTTGAGATGGAAGCTGACTCGAGTCTCGACCTACATCAAAACGAGCCGTTTGAAAGGTGGGTAAGGCAAAGCCGATGTGATTTTTTGTGTTCTGCCCTTGCAGTACAATAGCAACATGCATCACTGCTCAATTAGATTCTGGTACGTGAGATTCAACTTCCAAAAAAAAAAAAAACAGAGGGCTCCTTTGTTGCAATTTTTTTTCATTTATAAGGTTCAAATATTTAATTTTAATTTTGATAATGAAGAAAATTAAATTGAGAGGATTACATTAAGTATCCTATGACACAATTAACTTAGATTTTATAAGATTTAATTGCACTGCAAGGAATTAAAAGGTTATATTAATGGTTGTCTCTATCTTTATCATTTCTTTTCTTTAAAGGGCGATTGTGGGCTATGTTTGTGGTGGCAAATTTGAAATGTTCAAAAAGGGAATATGTAATGCCAAGCGGTGTGGTTTGGTGCATGGTCGTTGATGAGATCTCCTTTCCATTCTTCTTTGTTTGCTTGGTTCGTACCCAATTTTGCTTTTATGGGTTCTCTCATGGTGGCCTTTCAATAATCAATTATGGTTTATCTTTTATCGATAAAAAGTGTGGGACCTTTGAGGTGGTTTCTTTAAACCCTATCCCTTACAATGGTGTTGACATCAGTGACGGCATTTTTCTTTCTACAAATTACGGTAAGTAGATAGTGTAGATATTTTGCTAGCAAACTTGGCAAAGACTTGTCTCCTTGATCTTGTCGTTAAGGTTTGGTTTGTGTTTTTTTTTTTTTGGTCTGTATTTTGTTGTAGGTTTTTTTGTTGTTCAACCTTTCTTTCATGTCTGTTTTCTTTATCTTCATTTTAATGAAAGTATCATCTTTTCCGGTTAAAAGAATAGTGTTAAAGGAGATATGTACATAATTTTTCTAATTAAATTACTCTCAGTTGAGTAATCACTAATGATGATGTTTTTTTACAATGAGAGAAATACAACAAATATTACTACTTATTGTGGCAAAAAATAGTACATACAAGTCCTCTGCATTGCTACATGAAGCGTTAAGACCTCTTGAAATCCATACAAAGCTATAGCTTAACGATTTGTCAAGATGGCTTATAAAATCCACTAGCTCCATACAACCCCACTTTGGGTAAGTATTATATTACCTCTCAACAATTGAACCAGGGGAAGACAATCAGATTCAAGTTTGACTTTCTTAAAACCTTCAACTATGCACCACTTGAACCCTAGACATGTAGTCTCTATTTTGCTCACCATCAATTTTAGAGTTAACATCCAAAAACCCATCTACATGAAAGTTAAGTAAAGGACATTAGAAGGTCACTCTTCTTTTGGTCTAAAAAAATGGATTAGATACAATCCAAATTAATAAATAAAAAACAAAAAAGGATCAAAATAGATATTTTTCTAATTTGATTCTATGTTAATTCAAAGAAAAAGAGTTTTCCCTTTTTGAATTGAATGAAATTACACAACAAAGTTCTTGTTCTTATAATAAAAGAAATTTATTAGATTAGTTTACCCAACTTAAGAGTTATTCAATAAATCTGTTGATTTGAAATTACAAGAAATATATCAAAGATATGGTGCTAGGCTAGCCAAAAATCAAAATTTATTAGAAACTTAGTCTAAAATTCATAAAAAATTAGCCTTTTATGATTACATTAGCAATAATCTGGCAAAAAGAGGGATTGTTTACAATGGGCTTAATGGACAACAGGGATGGAATAGCCGTTGGGTGATTAGGACACCCTATCTTTAGAGATAAAGAGAGGTGTGAATTTTTTATATAAAGTATGCCTACTTTCTTGCTTGAAATTGTAACATTCTTGATTTTAAACCGAATTAATTAAACTTGAATTAGATTAACTAAGTAAATTAGTGAGGTGTGTGGCAAGAAAGGCTTAACATGCATGTTTAGTTTCAATTTCAACCCTATACGTGGGTCAAAAGGAGAATCAGGTCACCCAGGAATGTAAAGAGGAAGAAATTCTAAAAATGGAAGGTTTTGTATCACACGCCATGGCTTGTGCCGCTGCGGTGCTTATGTGCACTGCTGCGGTGCTTGTGCACAACACGCTAAGGAGATGCTCTCTGTGCCATGCGCTGCGGCGCATTGTGTTTTCATCACAGTGCATGGTCACTTTCCTACTGTCATAAGTTCATAAAATGAAGCAGAAAAAAGAGGCAGAATAAAGAAATACGAGAGAGCAGCGGGGGAGCAGTGCTAAGGCTTGAAGAACTCAACTTTTAGGAGTATTTTAGAGCTTATAAATATTAAGGGTAAGCTTTTTTACTTAAATTCTTCTTTCCATTTTCTTAATGGCAGAAGTTATGGTTTAGTTAATAATGGTGATTTTTAGTCCATATAGGCTATGGGTTTGAACCCATTGACTTAAATAGAGTTAATAGAACTAGATTGAACTAATGAAACTTAATATTTATGGAATTATGATGATTGGTGGTTGAGGACCATTAAATGTCCAAAAATTCCTCATTAATGTGTTAGTTACAACAATGTGTTTCCATTAATGACTATTAGAGAGCTCAATGATGTTAATGAAAATTAAAGGAAGCTAAGAAACCCTATAAGTACTTTTATATGAGTCAAGAATGAATTTTGAGCATTAAGAAGTGTTAAATTATTAGTAAAAATTAGCTCAAATGTGAATATTGATGAATTGCATTGTAAATACTTATGGAGTGACTACTTTTGACACCATTCTAGTTTCTTAGAAGCTTTGGGAGTTGATAATTGAGGGGTGAAACCTTTGACCTCTCAAAAGTTTAAGGTAATTGAGAAAATTTCATCTTGTATTTTTGTGTGTTAATTAATTTATCAATCAATATTTGATAATTGACTTGTGTGAGATTTGATTAAAATGCAAATGTGACTTATTTTGTTTGAACAGCCCACTATTAAAGTGGTGATTTAGTATAGTTTAATGATTTTGAAATTTTAGAGTTCAATGATTGTCAATGAGTGAGGTACGATAATTATGAAAACATAGAGTGTAATGACTTGTTTAATTAAGAGTTTCATGATGTGAATTATAGGTTAAATGATTAAATTGGAGTTCAATGATTTGTTTTATTTGGAGTCCAATGTTGTGAATGGTGATAGGGGTACAATGCTTGTGAATTGAAGAAGTTCAATGATTTATATATTGTGGAGTTCAATAAAAAGTAAAGTTGAGGAGTTTAATGATTGAATTGTATTTGTTGATGTGATATTTATGTATGATGATGCGTTTGTGCATGCTTGACATTAAGTAATTGCATACCTCAAAATTTCGTATAATATATGCATTGCATGATCATGAAAGGCGAGAGTTCGCTTAGGAAGAAGAGTAGAGAATAAAGTTCATGTGGTAAAGCTCCTATTCGAGTTGATGGCTTGCCTAGATTGATTATATTTATACTATCTCACTTGTTCAACGAGAAATTGTCCTAATAATTCAACGAGAAACTCAAACCAAGCTAACTATTCATTAGTTTAGCAAGGAAGCTAGTTTAGGAAGTATGACCCCTCAGAGTGTGAGAAAATAGGGAAAACCATATTTCACAAGTGAGATCCCCTCATAAGTGTTTAGGCTAGGAAAGTCCCAGATTATAGACTATCTCATTATGTTATAGCCCACAGTTTTATGTCAGAGAAATAAGGAGGATATAAGGGAGGTGTGATCACGCATATAATGAGTAAGGGCACATGGTCATCTGTATTGTAACCCTAATAATCAATATTATGAATTGAGTCTTAATCCATTTTGAGTATATGTCATTGGATTGTGTGACAAACTCTCTTTTATATGAAAACTGTTAAAAAGTATTATTTCATGAGTATTGTGCTATTATGCCTGGAAATGTGAATTTTTGCTCTTGAATGTTTTAGATGGTTTAGAAATTGATTATACTTACCACTTGCATTTAAAATTAATTGACATGTATTAGTATAGGTTAGTTAAACATTAACTACTAAATGGTTACACTTACCCTATTACCTTCAATATTACAGGAAATAGCTTAAGAGGATTGGATAGAGGAAAGCAACTAGAGGCTTAGGACTACGATTATATTTAATAGGCCTCTTTATTTTTGAGTCATTATGTGTATGTGACAATTAAAATTGCTAACCATGAATAGTTCATTTTGATTCTTACTTGCATTACGTGTTTTTTGAATTGTAAGTATATTTTGGGCCTTACAGAGTCAATTTATGAAATGTGATATTTATAATAAGGCCACAAAACTAATGCAAGTAAAAGTTAAGCATATTATGTGTTGATTTTGAATTATTTGATGAAAAAAAATGCTTAAACTTTCCCTTTGAGATTAAGAGATTGAGTAGCAAAATTGTGAATTATAAGTGTTTGACATGGTGTGGTGTATTGCACGAGTTAGTTTTAGTGTATTATTTATGGTCTAAGTGGTGTCAGTGGCTTTTGGCTTTTGATGAATGATTTGGACATTTAGTTTTGTAGAAAAAGTTTAAAAAAGTACAAGTTTTGAAAAAAGTGTCTAAATTTTGATTGCGTAATGATTTGATTATAAGACTAAAGCTATTAGTTAGAGCTTGGAAAGAGCTTTCCTTAGACACCTAGTTCGCATCAATTAGATGTAAGACGGAAGAATGAGGCACATCAAAAGTTGTCCTAAAAGCTATGAAATGGATAGCAGAGTTTGTTGTCATGATACGTGTAATGTGTCGTGGCGTATGGCACAGAGGCGAACATACCACGTTGCATGCCCTAATTTTTGCAAAATTACTTTCTTTTTTTATTCTTTTATGGATGCACCAATATTTGAAATGATCCCATGCTTTCGTATAATTTGTGAACTTTGATTTGTTTCTTGCAAAAATCATTGGGAATGGTTTTAATTTTGAAAATTTGAGACATTAATTTTTTCACCTATTTGCAACTTAGTATTATGTTAATTATCTTAATCTCATCTATTTATTAATTAAGATTTGGAGTTAATCAAGATTAGAGAAGGAGGATGTTAAAAAAATCATAATAAATGATTTTCAATCAATCCTCAAGATCGAAAGAGTCAATTCAAATGCAATATACAATATTTCTTTCTAAAATTTGTCATGCACACAAAAATCAATAAACACCACAAGTGTATAAGTCATA